CCAACATACGTACTACACATACGTAACTTGATATATATCAAGTATATATAAAGACCTTCAAAAACATGATAAAATTTTCACGGAATTTCATGAAAAATAATAAAAAGTTAAAGAAATTCCATCGAAATCAAAGTTTCTTGAAGTCTTTTTGAGGTTTTTCAGTTTCTTCCTAAAAGAAAATCCAAAGAAAACAAATGCGCGAAAAGAATAAAACAAATCAATCGAGGAATATATAAAATAAACACAAAAACACTGAAGAACATACAACAAAAATTGAACAAATTGAATAAACTACATATAAGTTTACATTTGAAAAATTTTAACATGTAATGAAGTAAATATAATTAGTTTTTACCTGTATATTTAGGTGCTAAGTTCAGAATGATTGCGTTGTCACCGCCACCAACAAGACCCATGAAGCCAGTTGTCATGACGAGTATTATTATGACGTTTGTTGAATCACATCCAACTTGAGGAATGCATATCAGGCATGCACTGGATCCTATTATAGCTAAATGATACAATAACTTAATTATAATCGAAACGTTATATTGTATATGGGAGGAACCGGACCTAACGAATTTCGAGAGAAAATTCATTTTTCCTGATTTTTCCTACTGAATTAAATTTTAGAAAAAAAAGCTTTCCCTATTTTAGTACCGGAAGATGAGTGCATTTCTCTTCCCCGAATTGTTTCCTTATCCAGGGAACTCAGAATGTGTCACTGGGAACTAAAACAAAAAAATTCCCTATTGGTGAAGACAGACAACGTGACTTGAAAGAGTGAAAAGAAGATTTCAGGGAACAGAGCTCGTCGGGAGTCCGCGAGAGTATTCCCTCAGTGCCAACAGAAAGGTTTTATCGCCGTCGCCCGTCTCCGCCGCTTCTCCCGATCATCCTGTGTTTCTCCGGGAACACCTACGAAGAACCGACATATTTAACGTCCGATAGAATTTAATCGCCATTGAAGGCCTAAAGACATTCTCAAAGACATTTCCCGGCCTCCCAAGTGTCTCCACGACTATTTGGAATATCCCGTGAACTAGGTATTTATAACAACACGCGATGTCATTTCCGTTACATTATATTAGTTATTTTTGCTGTTAACCTTGTATTCGAATGAATCACTTCCAATCCGTCTCTGAACCCTCCTCCATCCCGAATCCGATCACCCGCGCATGTAACCGCTCGCGTAAGCTCTAAAATTGCGGTTTCTGTGTATATTCTAAAGACACAGTAGTGTCAGTCGTGACGAGGTGCCAAGGAGGTACCGACACTCTGGTCACACATAATTAGAATATTTACACTTACAAAGAGTCTGGAAGCCTTTTCTGACGTTTGTTACGCTGAAATATTTACGTTTAATAAACAAATCTGATAAGTAACCAGATATAATGAGGCCAAACGTATTCGCTGAATACATGAATGCGTTTATTAAGCCATTCTGTAAAGAAATCAATTTATTAATCTGAATTTCCTTCTAAAAATGTTCATTAAAATTGGCAGACGTTACCTGCTGTATTGGGAAATGTAGAACATTCTCGACATACGATGGTAGTTTTAATAGAAAGGTATAGAAACCCCAATGAAACAACAATTTTACAATGCACGTCGTCCATACTGGTACAGATGTTAAAATACTCTTCCAAGGAATTTTCTGGTTGTGTTAAATATACAAAATTATCTCAATAAAGAAGCGCTGTATCAAAACATTTTAAAACTCAATTTACAATATACCTTAATATTATTAGTATTATTGTTCGAGTTTTGTCGTATATGAAGAATCTCTTTTTGAGTAATGCCGGAAAATTCTTCCGGATAATCATATACAAAAAATAACAAACCGAGGGACAAAACACATCCATAAATACCTGAAATATAATAAATGTAATTGTTTAACATTGGTGAATAATAATTAACTCTATAGAATGAATTAGATAATTACCAATGACGTAGAATGCTGAAGGCCAACCACCCGAGAAACCATATTCGCACAAGTAACCAGACAATGTAGTAGTAATTGTGGAACCAATCAAATTTCCACTCTCGCAAATAGCCATTAATGTACTTCGTTCGTTAACTGGAGACCATCTTGAAAGTAATGTAAATCCTGATGGAAACGTCAGCGCCTAGATTTAAAAAACAATTACTTTGAAAATATAAAAAAATTAAAATATGGTTTAAGTAACTTACATGCAACACTCCTAAGACAACTCTCTGACATGACAAGGCCGCTATACCAAGTTCGGCTATAAATGGTGTTATCGATAATAACGCCGACGATAAAAACACAGTAATAACGTAAGTGCGCTTGACACCTAACAGATGAATGACAGAACCTCCCAAAAACTGAAAAATGACATAACTATAATAGAAACTTCCTAAAATAATTCCTTGTTCGGGTTGACTCCAAACGAATTTTCCCTATAGTAAACAAAATACAGCTATTAGTCAGATGAGCACTATATTATGTGTAATGTACGATACGACACTCACTTCTCTGTAATTATACGTGATATTTTGATTTTCAGCACTATCAGGGCATTCGTGAGTTAGAGCATTTTCAGTTTCGCTCATCTCGATCGCCGAATTATTTACCATGGCCACAATAGCTACGTTTAGCACGACTCTATGAGCATACATCTCCATACATACCAAAAATATAAAGAAAACCAACACATATCGTGCAGGTAAGATTTCTATAACAAAGGAAAACAAGGAAGGACTGTTTAAGAAAGTGAAAAAATTATGTTACGCTCCAATTTTTTAAAAAATCAAATAATATTTTACAGCGTAGATAAGAGATGTATCAAATTTTAGAGGTTACTTACTGTATAAGGTTTTTCCATCGCGTACGTTCTGCTTCATTTTGAAGTATGAAGCATTCGAATGGACTGGTGTCACTTTTGTATAGAAGCTTACGTCACTCAGCTTTCGTAATTTTATCAACTGTATTATAATTCAGCATCAGTGATATATAACCCGCTATCTACGGTCCAAATCCCGTTTCGACAGTTTTAAATTTAAATGTTACTGCCAAAAAAATGGATTGCAACTTAATTTGCTTACGTCGAACCATTTACGTATATGTAGATATATTTTTTTATGTTATAGATATTTAATATTGAAGGAGTGTGGTTTGTATTTAAGATTTCCTAATTAATAACTTATTATTAAATGAAGTTTTTTTTGTGGTCAGTCTGAGTAGACGGTTTGTTTTATATTTTTGATCGAGTTACTTGAACTGATGTCCCCTCTCTTGTTTAAGTATTGTCTGGAAGATTCTGCTAGTTAAGAACAGGTCGAATTAAATTATCTATTTATAAGTTATATAAAGTTAAATCCTTATAAAAGTTCTAAGTTTTATGAAATTGTTTGTATTCGGTTTCTGTACGCGAAGCTGTAATTAATATATCATTCATATTTTAAAAAGAAAAAAAAAGCTTGAATTATATAAGTGGTTAAATTTATTATTCATTCTTTTAATAGCTTCTTAGATAAAAAAATATCTTATAATTTTAAAAATATTTAAAAAATATAAATAAATATAAATGTAATATTACTAGATTAAAAAATTGAAATTAAATTGTTGCCAATACTTGAGAAATTTTTATAGAAATTTACATTAGGTTGTTGCTATGGCCTCCTGACTTACATTAATGTTATAATTCTTTCTCCTTTATAGAATTCATTTGTGAATTAAACATCTAGTGTATCTTCCGTTCTGTCTGATTAACAACGATGTTAGTAATTTTTCTGTCATCATAAACTTACAATTATCTTGATAACATTATCAAGACCGTCATTAATCTGAAGTCTACAAAACAATTTTATAAATAAATTTATACCCTTTTTTTCGTATAAGAAACATGAACGTAATTAATTTTGTGTACATCACCTTAGAGCTTTTCGTTCTCTGTAAACGTCGCCATTCTGATTTAAAACGGGGTGAAACTATTAAGTAGATTGGTGGCTTGATACAGAAGTAATATAAAAATTTACTTGCATAAATTTTATATAATGAAACTACAAACTTTTTAATCTCAAACACACGAAATTATGATATAAATTTCGTAAAATTTTTGTTGAAAACGCAACTTTTTATGTAACATTTATATTACAAGAAATCATTTGTCAATTTGCGAGATTTTATTGTTTAGACTGTTTAAGTTTCTTCGTGATATAAGAGAGATTTCTCCCCTAAGAAAGTGTCATCGTAGCTCACAGATTATAGTTTGGGGTGTCTTGTAATACAAGAGAATTTCTTTAAAAAAGTAAAAAATTCATACATTCGAATTCAATATACCGTGTTATCAATCCTTTAAATAAAATTACTGATATACAGAACTCTGCGTAACTTCAGTATCACGATCTTGCTTTTTAAATGCTGGATGCTACAAAATAGAAAGCTAAAGATATAATAAACATATTGCAAAGGCGATGATCGGTTGCAGAAAATAGTACGATTACAGATGAAAAATAGTAGAATTGTAAATAGTAATTGTCTTTCCACAAAAAGGAGTGAATAGGAGAAAACTCATGGAAGCAACGAGATAAAATGGGAATAACGAAGCTATGGAATAAAACAACTGTAAATCTTAAATGTGATGTGAATGTGGGAGCTAAGAAGAATGAGAAGGAATTTTAGAAGCAGCTTGACTGACTAAATCTGTAATTTTGAAACAGTGTCTTCTTATTCGCTTTATTTATTCAGCACAATGGAGTGCAATTGATAGGACACAAGACGTTTATTACAATATTTATTCATTGATACGCATTTCGGATTCTTTTCACCCTCTTCAGTCAGCCTTTAATTCCTTTTCATAAACTGTATAAAGTTTAATGAAATAAACGGACGTCCACTGAAACTCAATCCCATCCCTCCCCTTGTATGACTTCGTTGAAATTGTAAACTTCTCCCTTCTTTCCAGTGTGGTCGCCATTTATGGACAGTCTCTAACATCTAAATAGAGACCAATTTCCTATAAAAAATCCTCCCAAAAGACACGATTGCAAAGATAATCCTTTTTCTTTGGAAGACAGTTTTAAAAAAAGCTTTATATCGTGTTTGCGACGAAAATTAGTAAATAGCCATATTTTAACTAATTTTTTTGTTTCAAAGTTCCTACTGATCGGTATCTGTTTTTTTTTTTTTTTTTTTAAATACAGTAATACCTCGATTTTACGCTACCTCGACTTACGCAAACCCGGAGTTACGCGATTTTCGAATCTCGTCGATTCCTCTTTTGTTTGAGCGCCACGCAACTCTCGATTACTCACTCTCCTCACACTACTGTTCGGCTTACATGTTCGGACGTGTCGCGCGGAATCGACACATAGTTACAATTTATTTTGTGTTATTTATTTCTGTGTTTGTTATATCTACGGAGACTCGAGAGACTCTATGTGGTGATTTCTTGTAACCGTGAACGAATCAAAAGACGAGATAAGATTAACGAGAACATTTATTAGTTTACATACATCCGACTTGGATTTTACATAAATTGCGAAATTATACCCCGACTTACGCGAATTCGACTTAAGCGGTTATCACTCGGTCCCACCTATCGAGTAAGTTCGAGGTATCACTGTATTAAATATTAAAATTTGATATTAATAACAATGAAAATTCGTTCTGATGTCAAAAATTTCTAGAAATCTGGAGATTTATTATTCAACCTCCCGCGTTTATAAAAATGGGAATTACCAGGAGATTAAATAACCGTGATGTAAACTAATAAACATCGACTAATGAACATGCAAAATTGCAATGAACAAATCAAGTCTTCTAGAATTTTGCATTATACGAGCGATGTGCATTATACTTTTAGATAAGATTCATTTATTTGTAAAACATTTCGCCTTCAAAACTTTATATTTTTTAATATTAATCTTTCGATGGTTTTCATTATATAATAAAACACGAAATGGATGCGATACGTTCGTGTTAGAATGTATAAGTATGGGAAATATCGGGCCGGATAGACGATCTGGTTATGGATTGAATAAACCGGAAATGAATCCGAATGAATAAATTTTCGAAGAAAATTGGGCCGGGATTTCTCGGATCTCGTCCCTCTCCAACACCCCAATGTAACTTGGCCAAACCCATGATGGTCTTAAAATAAACCTCCTCTTAGCGCCCACAGGCCGGACAGTAAAAATGGATTGTATCATAGAGTTCATACTATTGTTGAGCTATTTATAAACTAGTGTACAATGTATCATGTAAAGTTAAAAAGGGGTTGTTACAGAACGAAATTATAGTAATGGGTACATTGTCTGGTTAAACGGCTTTAATACAGTGGAATAAACAAGTCAATGAATAGTCCATTTCATTTCAGACTGATTTGAGTACTTCATAATATGTCTGAAATGAAACGGGCTGTCATTGGCTTGTTTATCCAGCAGTATTAAAGTTTCTTTACCGAACAACGCGCTGTTCATAAATTACGTCCGCATTTTTCTTTTCGCATTTTTCCTCCCCCATTGTCTCAATTCGTCCCAGTTCATGGACATCTCCATATTGCTAATTCTTCATTTACAATTTAGTTGTATTTACTCCTGAAATTATGTATGTATTGTGATAAACTTTGTAGAAAACTTATACAGGTTGTTAATGATTTACNGCTTATAAATACTGTATATTATCTTAATAGTACGATAATAAAAGTTAATATATGAAAGTAAAGATATTATTTTTACTACATTTGTAATTATAGTACAGAAAAAACTCGTAAAATATAATCATTGTCTTTATATCGATATATAACATATACAACGGACTTCCATTTCTACCAATTCACGTGCGAACAAGTATTTACTTTCGACACTTGGGGCATCACCGTCGCCGTAAAAATTTCGTTAGCCGGACCTCCACCGCAATCCAGACACAAACGCAAATAGGTCACGTGATTAAAAGCTTTTATGGCGAGGGGTTTTACACCGTTTTTATGGCAGTGGAGTATCGGCCTAAAAGGATTTGTCGAAGTTCGTCAAACGATGAGATTTCGTCACGCATTGGAAATAATTTTATGCACAAATCACTCGAGTTGTTGTCCGAGTGATCCGTATCTAAATATTCCTTGGAGTTTTTTTCGTCTCCAGATCCAAGACATTCCTTTGAAGATTGTATTAAGTTCAAGTCGGTTTGTCTGAGATCCATTTCACACTCGACTTCTTCCAGTAACATTCTTGTGTGTGAAATGTTCGTAGTTGGATGTGTAATAGTTACTTTTGACAACTTCGTTTTCTCTTTAAATCTGACTTTTGCCGGATATTCGGGAAAGATAAATTCTTCTTCCATTTGTGTTTCTTTATAGTGTTTATATTTATTTAGAGGAGAACGGTTATTCACTGATAAAGCAAGTTCTTCGTGAGTACTCAGAAGCGGTATAATAAAATCGTTTTTGTCTTCTAATACATATAGAGTTTTTTCTTCGTGGGCGGTAATGTACGACTTTTTATTTTAATTTCATATTCCCGATCGTACCATTGAATTACTTTTACTATAACGATTATGACGACACAAACCGTTAGAAGTGTCGCGTAGAAAGTAGTGATATAGGAAATTATTTTAGGTTTGACGATCCAGGAAAATTTGAAGTTGAAATTTTTTTTGGTCGATTCTAAAACTTGTATCAGTACCATTTACAGATGCTTTGTTTTTTAATCTTCGATGGTTTATCATTCAGATCTTTGTATTTTCTAACTTTCTTTTCGTAATATTTCTGGATATCGAATGTGGAGTAGTGTTTGTTCTGTAGATGATGCGAATTTTCAATGACGAATTTGTTGATAATCTTCTGGAAAGGATCGATTGTTTTAGTATCCAGCTTGTCTGGTCCACTCAATCCATATCTTTTGTATAATTGTTTTAAAATTTGCCATTTTCGCTTGGCTATTGCAGACCTTCCATTCGATATTCTGTGTGGTGTGTTTTTGAGTCTCGTTTTGCGCCAGGCTCAACATCGAAGTTAGAGAAAAGTTTTCTCAACAAAGAAGACATTTTGGATGGTTGTCGACTTTCTTTCTTTCCATCGGCAATTATTGTCCCTGTTATTGTTGTCAGGATGACTCTTTAAACACAATCTAGGTAACGATTGGCTTTGGCATTCTAACCAAGAGGAAAATATGACTAGACTTAACACTCTTTTTTCACTTAATTTATTCTTGTCATAATTACGGTTGAAATTTTGTCATCTATTAGTTTTATTTAAACTTTGCCGACAGAAGTTGAAAATTAATCAATCTTATAATATAATCGAGATGGGTTGTTAATAATAATGATATTAAGCGCTGAGCACAAACGATTAAAAGTTGAAAGTTGAAATTCGGTACAAACACTTGAAGATATAGTTAAAAATACAGTATAGCATCGATTATCCGATCCCCGATTAACCGTCACCTCGGTTAACCGACCGCGTTCTAGTCGGCAAATTCAAATGTCCGCTAGTGATGTAGCGCTACAATACTTGCTATGTCTTGGCTACTTTGATATTATTTTTACGTGTTTTAGCTGGCAACACTGGATCGACCATGAAAGGGAGCCAGTATTTAAACGAGACCTAATTTTCTAATTTTTAACGATACAATAGCGACGATTATTATATTTTAAAAAATTTGATAGGCTTAACATGGAGGAAAATTCAACTCGAAGTACGTTAATAGCGATATACTAATATACTAATATACTAATTACATGGGATATAATAATATACTACACTAATAATGGATTTTTTCATACTTTTCGGTTATCCGACTAACCCCAGTCCCCAATTGAGTCGGATAATCGATGCTCTACTGTATTAAATTTTATTTACAATACGTTATTATATTCTCATACAGTATTGTCTAATTTCATTACTTTAAATTTAATAATAAAAAAATAAATTTATAAATTTGGCATTGCAGCACCCTATTTTGGTACGGAGACAACGTTTTTCACTTCTTCTGCTTCGTCCGAATCATCAGCCCAAGGTTGCAATTCGGCTGAGCCAAAAACTAGGAAGATGATCATCGCCAATAAACAAAATCCCGCCGAGAGATAATAGACGTAACTCCATTGCACCATGCTTCCTTGCTGTAAGCAGAATTAAACCATCAATCAAATTTCATTACAATAAGAATACATTAAGAAACTTTAGTAATAAATAAATAAAATTATGACATTTTTATGATAAATTAGCGTCTTTTTATCAATAAAATTTATTTACATTTTTATCTAGGAACAGTCCAGCTATATATGGCGATAAGAAGCCAGGAACTGCAGACATTCCATTAGTCAATCCGAACAACGGCCCTGAAACGTAAGAAATATTATATTTGCAATTGTTTAAAACTTAAGAATAAACAGAAATATGCTTATTTTACAATTCATGTTACAAACTTCACGTTTATATGGTTGACCGAGACGTATATTGTTATCTTAAGTTCGTTTTAAACATTGTTTTAAGTAATCTCGAGATTTATTGTCTGTTTCTTTTAAGGCGAATTATCACGAATACGAAACGTCTTTATCATTTACAACGACCTTATCAAATTTAATATCATCAATTTAACTCTGAGTCGATATTGCAATTTTATCCGCAACTTCCAACGTATTTTAAGGGTAAAATTGGAAAAAATATGAGAAATATTAAAGTAAAATACTGGAGAAATTAAGAGGATCTTAGTGAAAATAACAACGGCTCTTGCACGACTTTCCCATTACTCGAATAGGTTAAGGGACCAGAAAGTTCGATATTTTTCAATCAATTTTTAAAAAATTGTATCTTTTGGGGTAGGGACAAGTTTTTAAAAACGTTGGTAATGCCAATAACAAGTAAAATTTCATTAACTCTGACCCCATTCGAGATACGAACCTACCCTTACTTTCCTCTTGTCTCTAAAATCTAATATTATTAATGTCCTAAAGAGAAGTGTAGTGCCAAATTTCAAAATATTTGGTTCATGGGTCTTGAAATTTAGAGCAAAATACAGTCCAACATACGTACTACACATACGTAACTTGATATATATCAAGTATATATAAAGACCTTCAAAAACATGATAAAATTTTCACGGAATTTCATGAAAAATAATAAAAAGTTAAAGAAATTCCATCGAAATCAAAGTTTCTTGAAGTCTTTTTGAGGTTTTTCAGTTTCTTCCTAAAAGAAAATCTAAAGAAAACAAATGCGCGAATAGAATAAAACAAATCAATCGAGGAATATATAAAGTAAACATAAAAACACTGAAGAACATACAACGAAAACTGAACAAATTACATACAAGTTTTCATTTGAAAAATTTTAACATGTAATGAAGAAAATATAATTAATTTTTACCTGTGTATTTAGGTGCTAAGTTCAGAATGATTGCGTTGTCACCGCCACCAACAAGACCCATGAAGCCAGTTGTCATGACGAGTATTATTATGACGTTTGTTGAATGACATCCAACTTGAGGAATGCATATCAGGCATGCACTGGATCCTATAATAGCTAAATGATACAATAACTTAATTATAATCGAAACGTTATATTGTATATGTGAGGAACCGGACCTAACGAATTTCGAGAGAAAATTCATTTTTCCTTATTTTTCCTACTGAATTAAATTTTAGAAAAAAAACTTTCCCCATTTTAGTACCGGAAGATGAGTGCATTTCTCTTCCCCAAATTGTCTCCTTATCCAGGAAACTCAGAATGTGTCACTGGGAACTAAAACAAAAAAATTCCCTATTAGAGAAGACAGACAACGTGACTTGAAAAAGTGAAAAGAAGATTTCAGGGAACAGAGCTCGTCGGGAGTCCGCGAGAGTATTCCCTCAGTGCCAACAGAAAGGTTTTATCGCCGTCGCCCGTCTCCGCCGCTTCTCCCGATCATCCTGTGTTTCTCCGGGAACACCTACGAAGAACCGACATATTTAACGTCCGATAGAATTTAATCGCCATTGAAGGCCTAAAGACATTCTCAAAGACATTTCCCGGCCTCCCAAGTGTCTCCACGACTATTTGGAATATCCCGTGAACTAGGTATTTATAACAACACGCGATGTCATTTCCGTTACATTATATTAGTTATTTTTGCTGTTAACCTTGTATTCGAATGAATCACTTCCAATCCGTCTCTGAACCCTCCTCCATCCCGAATCCGATCACCCGCGCATGTAACCGCTCGCGTAAGCTCTAAAATTGCGGTTTCTGTGTATATTCTAAAGACACAGTAGTGTCAGTCGTGACGAGGTGCCAAGGAGGTACCGACACTCTGGTCACACATAATTAGAATATTTACACTTACAAAGAGTCTGGAAGCCTTTTCTGACGTTTGTTACGCTGAAATATTTACGTTTAATAAACAAATCTGATAAGTAACCAGATATAATGAGGCCAAACGTATTCGCTGAATACATGAATGCGTTTATTAAGCCATTCTGTAAAGAAATCAATTTATTAATCTGAATTTCCTTCTAAAAATGTTCATTAAAATTGGCAGACGTTACCTGCTGTATTGGGAAATGTAGAACATTCTCGACATACGATGGTAGTTTTAATAGAAAGGTATAGAAACCCCAATGAAACAACAATTTTACAATGCACGTCGTCCATACTAGTACAGATGTTAAAATACTCTTCCAAGGAATTTTCTGGTTGTGTTAAATATGCAAAATTATCTCAATAAAGAAGCGCTGTATCAAAACATTTTAAAACTCAATTTACAATATACCTTAATATTATTAGTATTATTGTTCGAGTTTTGTCGTATATGAAGAATCTCTTTTTGAGTAATGCCGGAAAATTCTTCCGGATAATCATATACAAAAAATAACAAACCGAGGGACAAAACACATCCATAAATACCTGAAATATAATAAATGTAATTGTTTAACATTGGAGAATAATAATTAACTCTATAGAATGAATTAGATAATTACCAATGACGTAGAATGCTGAAGGCCAACCACCCGAGAAACCATATTCGCACAAGTAACCAGACAATGTAGTAGTAATTGTGGAACCAATCAAATTTCCACTCTCGCAAATAGCCATTAATGTACTTCGTTCGTTAACTGGAGACCATCTTGAAAGTAATGTAAATCCTGATGGAAACGTCAGCGCCTAGATTTAAAAAACAATTACTTTGAAAATATAAAAAAATTAAAATATGGTTTAAGTAACTTACATGCAACACTCCTAAGACAACTCTCTGACATGACAAGGCCGCTATACCAAGTTCGGCTATAAATGGTGTTATCGATAATAACGCCGACGATAAAAACACAGTAATAACGTAAGTGCGCTTGACACCTAACAGATGAATGACAGAACCTCCCAAAAACTGAAAAATGACATAACTATAATAGAAACTTCCTAAAATAATTCCTTGTTCGGGTTGACTCCAAACGAATTTTCCCTATAGTAAACAAAATACAGCTATTAGTCAGATGAGCACTATATTATGTGTAATGTACGATACGACACTCACTTCTCTGTAATTATACGTGATATTTTGATTTTCAGCACTATCAGGGCATTCGTGAGTTAGAGCATTTTCAGTTTCGCTCATCTCGATCGCCGAATTATTTACCANCTGGGCGCTATGGTAAAGTCTCCGAGACTCCCAGAACCAATAAAGCCTGTTAAATAAAAGTTTATCTAACACTTTGCCTAAGGATGACAGAAGAGAGTCTACCGCGCTAAAAAAAATTTTAACGTGTACTCCTTCCTTAGGTGTCTCTGTCCTCATGCTTCTCCGCTCCGCCTTTGCTGTGGCCGTCTGTCCCTTCCGCGCCGGCCCGCAGTCCAAGTCACCCGCCTGAAGTTATCCGTAGTCGCCATCTATCGCCTGTAAATATAACTATACATTATTATTTATTAGTCTTACCTTGGCTGGGCCTATGTTGACTGTAGTCCAAGCCTTTGTCCACTAGTCCAGCACGTCCGCTTACCAGAATCATTTCGGAACTCATATTTGAGACAAACGAGCACGAGCCCAAGGACAGCACTGCGCATGACAGCCAAATCACGTGGTCGTTCCTCAGCCATATAGATGCAGCGCTCCGCGGGCCAATGGGGTGCGTGGTCACGTGACACTCGGACCCGTCTCCCGAGNGTTTCGCTCATCTCGATCGCCGAATTATTTACCATGGCCACAATAGCTACGTTTAGCACGACTCTATGAGCATACATCTCCATACATACCAAAAATATAAAGAAAACCAACACATATCGTGCAGGTAAGATTTCTATAACAAAGGAAAACAAGGAAGGACTGTTTAAGAAAGTGAAAAAATTATGTTACGCTCCAATTTTTTAAAAAATCAAATAATATTTTACAGCGTAGATAAGAGATGTATCAAATTTTAGAGGTTACTTACTGTATAAGGTTTTTCCATCGCGTACGTTCTGCTTCATTTTGAAGTATGAAGCATTCGAATGGACTGGTGTCACTTTTGTATAGAAGCTTACGTCACTCAGCTTTCGTAATTTTATCAACTGTATTATAATTCAGCATCAGTGATATATAACCCGCTATCTACGGTCCAAATCCCGTTTCGACAGTTTTAAATTTAAATGTTACTGCCAAAAAAATGGATTGCAACTTAATTTGCTTACGTCGAACCATTTACGTATATGTAGATATATTTTTTTATGTTATAGATATTTAATATTGAAGGAGTGTGGTTTGTATTTAAGATTTCCTAATTAATAACTTATTATTAAATGAAGTTTTTTTTGTGGTCAGTCTGAGTAGACGGTTTGTTTTATATTTTTGATCGAGTTACTTGAACTGATGTCCCCTCTCTTGTTTAAGTATTGTCTGGAAGATTCTGCTAGTTAAGAACAGGTCGAATTAAATTATCTATTTATAAGTTATATAAAGTTAAATCCTTATAAAAGTTCTAAGTTTTATGAAATTGTTTGTATTCGGTTTCTGTACGCGAAGCTGTAATTAATATATCATTCATATTTTAAAAAGAAAAAAAAGCTTGAATTATATAAGTGGTTAAATTTATTATTCATTCTTTTAATAGCTTCTTAGATAAAAAAATATCTTATAATTTTAAAAATATTTAAGAAATATAAATAAATATAAATGTAATATTACTAGATTAAAAAATTGAAATTAAATTGTTGCCAATACTTGAGAAATTTTTATAGAAATTTACATTAGGTTGTTGCTATGGCCTCCTGACTTACATTAATGTTATAATTCTTTCTCCTTTATAGAATTCATTTGTGAATTAAACATCTAGTGTATCTTCCGTTCTGTCTGATTAACAACGATGTTAGTAATTTTTCTGTCATCATAAACTTACAATTATCTTGATAACATTATCAAGACCGTCATTAATCTGAAGTCTACAAAACAATTTTATAAATAAATTTATACCCTTTTTTTCGTATAAGAAACATGAACGTAATTAATTTTGTGTACATCACCTTAGAGCTTTTCGTTCTCTGTAAACGTCGCCATTCTGATTTAAAACGGGGTGAAACTATTAAGTAGATTGGTGGCTTGATACAGAAGTAATATAAAAATTTACTTGCATAAATTTTATATAATGAAACTACAAACTTTTTAATCTCAAACACACGAAATTATGATATAAATTTCGTAAAATTTTTGTTGAAAACGCAACTTTTTATGTAACATTTATATTACAAGAAATCATTTGTCAATTTGCGAGATTTTATTGTTTAGACTGTTTAAGTTTCTTCGTGATATAAGAGAGATTTCTCCCCTAAGAAAGTGTCATCGTAGCTCACAGATTATAGTTTGGGGTGTCTTGTAATACAAGAGAATTTCTTTAAAAAAGTAAAAAATTCATACATTCGAATTCAATATACCGTGTTATCAATCCTTTAAATAAAATTACTGATATACAGAACTCTGCGTAACTTCAGTATCACGATCTTGCTTTTTAAATGCTGGATGCTACAAAATAGAAAGCTAAAGATATAATAAACATATTGCAAAGGCGATGATCGGTTGCAGAAAATAGTACGATTACAGATGAAAAATAGTAGAATTGTAAATAGTAATTGTCTTTCCACAAAAAGGAGTGAATAGGAGAAAACTCATGGAAGCAACGAGATAAAATGGGAATAACGAAGCTATGGAATAAAACAACTGTAAATCTTAAATGTGATGTGAATGTGGGAGCTAAGAAGAATGAGAAGGAATTTTAGAAGCAGCTTGACTGACTAAATCTGTAATTTTGAAACAGTGTCTTCTTATTCGCTTTATTTATTCAGCACAATGGAGTGCAATTGATAGGACACAAGACGTTTATTACAATATTTATTCATTGATACGCATTTCGGATTCTTTTCACCCTCTTCAGTCAGCCTTTAATTCCTTTTCATAAACTGTATAAAGTTTAATGAAATAAACGGACGTCCACTGAAACTCAATCCCATCCCTCCCCTTGTATGACTTCGTTGAAATTGTAAACTTCTCCCTTCTTTCCAGTGTGGTCGCCATTTATTGACAGTCTCTAACATCTAAATAGAGACCAATTTCCTATAAAAAATCCTCCCAAAAGACACGATTGCAAAGATAATCCTTTTTCTTTGGAAGACAGTTTTAAAAAAAGCTTTATATCGTGTTTGCGACGAAAATTAGTAAATAGCCATATTTTAACTAATTTTTTTGTTTCAAAGTTCCTACTGATCGGTATCTGTTTTTTTTTTTTTTTTTTAAATACAGTAATACCTCGATTTTACGCTACCTCGACTTACGCAAACCCGGAGTTACGCGATTTTCGAATCTCGTCGATTCCTCTTTTGTTTGAGCGCCACGCAACTCTCGATTACTCACTCTCCTCACACTACTGTTCGGCTTACATGTTCGGACGTGTCGCGCGGAATCGACACATAGTTACAATTTATTTTGTGTTATTTATTTCTGTGTTTGTTATATCTACGGAGACTCGAGAGACTCTATGTGGTGATTTCTTGTAACCGTGAACGAATCAAAAGACGAGATAAGATTAACGAGAACATTTATTAGCTTACATACATCCGACTTGGATTTTACATAAATTGCGAAATTATACCCCGACTTACGCGAATT